AAGGGCCCAAAACCCTATTCTAGTTATTAGGGCCCCTACATCATAGGGGTCGGAAACATTACCAACAGTAGTCCTTAGGATTCCTTGTTGTAGTTAGACGTAGGGTTTAGGGTTTAGGGTTTAGGGTTTTGGCTTGCAACGGGTTTAGGGACTGCACTATACCCAACAACCCTATCCTAATTTAATTATTATGGCCCCTACATGAAAGGCCCCAAGCTATCCTCTAAACCCCTTACGTGCCACTCTGCAAGTCTATGCCGTGTCCACTCAAGATTCCGGCAAAACGTCATGAGATATTGCCGCGGGGTTCAGGGTTTATGGTTTGGGGCACTGTTGCAATGTCTGCTTGAAGCTTATGGGCGTTTTACCAGAAGCAACCCCCTGAACCGTAAACCCTAAACCCTAAACCCTTAACCCTACACCCTACACCCTACGCCCTAAACTCTAACCCTAAACCCTGAACCCTAAACCCTAAACCCTATAACCCTAAACCCTAAACCCTACTACACCGCTGTGTTCCAGGCCGACCTTCTGCGGGATCCAGCCCTGGCTCTGGCGCTGAGCGACAGGGCGCGGTGGTTGAATATAGGGTTTAGGGGTTTAGGGTTTAGGGTTTAGGGGTTTAGGGCTTTGGGTTTAGGGGTTTAGGGAACAACGGCAGAAGAGGCAATGCTGGCAGTCATCAAGTCCGGTTTCAAAAGGGGTTTAGGGTTTAGGGTTATAGAGCTAGGGTGGGTTTTGGGACATTTTGTATTTTCGTTACTTTGGGTTTATAAGGGACCCTTTAGATAACTATTTTTCAGAGCAGAGAAACCTGAATGATGTCCGTGAATCATAAGCCCTGAGCCCTAAAGCTTAAGCTGTGGGTTTAGGGTTTAGGGTTTAGGGTTTAGGGTAATAGCTTCATCGGTATGTTAAGGCCTGTCCATGGCCCCAGAGGATTGGGGAGAAGTAGAGTAGAGTAGGTACCCTTCAACCTTTTTTTGGGGTACCAGAATCTCTGCTTATTCCCAAAATTGGTTCCCCCGAGGATACTGGACAAGTAAGGAAAGCTGAATAGTTAGTCACACTGGTTCGGTTATCACCAAAGTATAGTACACCTCAACCCCCTTATTCAAACTATTGAGGCCCATATATCACGGTTTAGGGTTTCGGGCTGGGTCTCATTTTTGGGGGTCGGTTTCGCTGATGTTACATGGAAATCCTGTTTAGGGAATCCGCTCAGGGTCTGGTTATTGTTAGGAACTCGGGGCGGGTTATGGCGTTTTATCGCTTTTTCGTCGGCCGGTCTTGATAATTGCAAGGATTTGTGTAGCATTTATGGGGTCGTTATGGGTATATAAGGTTTTCACTAGAGAAATTCGGGTCTTGCCATGTGTTATTTTCGTTCTATTTGGAGTTCGGGTTTTTGCAGGGTTTTACGGCATTCGTTAGGTTCAATCAAGGGCAATTTGGGCAACAGTTTTTGTCCGCGGCGGTAGCACCTTCGTTTTCGGCTTCATCATCCTCGTCGTCGCAGGCGTGGGTGGCGTAGGCGGCATCGGTGGCATCGGCGGCGTAGTAGTCGTCCTCGCAGTAGTATGCCCTAATCCCTACACCCTAAATCCTCAACCGCTAGTAGCAGCAGTCGTCGTCGTTGCTGTCGCCGTAGTAGCAGCTGTCCTCGAATGCTAATGCAGAAGTCCCTGAAGCTGTTCTGGGACCCGATTTTCAGAGTTTAGAGCCTCAGGATTAAGGGTTTAGGGGGGTAGTGCATTGCAGTCTTTGCAGGGTTTAGGGTTCCTATCCCCTAAACCCGAAACCCTAAAAACAAAAAAGAAGGTAAAAAGAACCCTAAGACGCTAGGACTTTAGAGAATATGCCAAAGTTGACAAAGATCTGTGACAAGGGCCTTCAGCTTGCTTGGGGGGTCTTCCTGGGTTTCAAAGGTTTTGGGTATTCTGGGGGGTCCATTGCAACCCTTCGACTCGAAATTCAGAAGATGACACTGCGCGTGAGGCTCAAAAGCGTTGTAGAGTTTGTAACATAAATCCGAAGCCCCAGCCCTTAACCGATAAAGCCGTAAACAGCGCCATGACGTTGTCTGATCCAGAAGTCATTGCTGCCTGAAAGTGTGCCCTCCGGTCCTACCCCACAGAGCCCGAGGCGTTTTTGGGTTTAGGGTTTAGGGTTTAGGGTTTTGGGTTTAGGGTTTAGGGTTTAGGGTTTAGGGTTTAGGGTGTATAGAGTTTGAATGGGTCCTTGTTAGATACAAGTTTACATGTTTGTTCCGATGAGACGCAAATAGTACTCAAAAGTCGTCAGTTTTAATAGAGCCCCAACAGAAAACCAGTTAAGGGCACCTTACCATTGGGCAGTGAAAATCCAGTAGTGAGATTCCCTTGCCGAGGGGAGGTGGGTTTGTTTCAGGGGCTTCCACCCCGCAATGCCTAGTACTGCAATATAGAAGCCTGAGTAATTACCACTATTACTGTTAGGGTTCCTTATTATATTAATAATACTAGAAAGGAGCTTAAAACCCGATTCTGATTATTAAGGCCCCCATAGTTTAGCAGTCTGAACAGTACTTGTAAGTAACAGCGGGTTCTTGAGGTTTTGCAGGGCTTTGAAACTCGTCAAAATAAGCACCCAAACCCCATAAGCCCTACACCCTAAACCCCAAAAGCCCTACACCCTAAACCACACCCTAAACCCCCAAAGCCCCAAATCCTAAACCCCAAAAGCCTTACACCCTAAACCCCAAAAGCCCTACGCCCTAAACCCCAAACCCTAAAGCCCAATAGACCTACACCCTCACCCCGACCGCCCTCCGCAAGGCCTCGACCACCTTGGCCGGATTCGGGCTCGGCTTGAAGGCGTATTGCGCCTTGAAGGGCTTCCTAGGCAGCATTAGGCCGACCCTTCTTAGCCCTACTTCTGGCTCTCTGAAGAAGGGACCTTATCGAGAGGGTCCACGTGTCCAAGGGCCCCCTTAATCCTAACTACTAGGGCTTTAGGCTTAGGGCTTAAGGAGTTTCGGGGTTTAGGGTTGAGGGTTTAGGGTTTCAGGAGTTTAGGGGGTTAGGGTCTAGGGTTTAAAGTGTTTAGGGATTCAAAGGTTTCGGGTTTCAAGAATCTGGGTTTACAAGAGCCTAAACCCTTTCAACCCGGATGGTGTCCTAGGGAAGATTCCTAAACTCAAACGCAATGAGCCTACTACCCCAAGCCAAGAGCCCTGAAACGCAAACCCGAAAGCGTGAGAGTAAAGCCCAAACTCCTGTACCTCCCATATAATCTAGAAGCCTAAATAAATGCCAATATTAATCGTTATTTATCCTTAGGGTTCCTTATTATAACTTTACTATAAAGGAGCCCACAACCCTATTCTAATTATTAAGGTCCCTACATTAGAACCCTGGAAGGGAACCTTTCAAGGAAGCTCTAAATCCGACGTAAGAGCTCCAAGAGCTCTAAACGCGAGCCACGGTTTAGGGTTTAGGGAGGGTTAGCAGGGTGTAAGGGGCACGGCGAAGCCGCAACCCAACCCGCAACCCTGACTAAGCCAAGTGAGCCTGCAACCTTCAACCGCTTCATCGCCCCTATGAGAAAAGCAAGAGCTGACACCATCCCGCTTCAATAAGACTTGATAAACCAACCTTGCAGAACCCTACGATGCCTCATGCATCTAATGCCAACCTCCGACATTTCCAAGAGCGTCTATGCCAGAACTTTCCCCTGAACCCTAGGCTTCTGGGCATAGATCTCAGCCATGCGAGAGGGAAAAACAAACCTTAAGCTCCTTTGGCTACTAGACGATGTTCGTGAACCCAACGAGGGCGACGAACCCTGGACCCTGCTTGGAGGTTCATGGGACTTAGTAAGTACAGTTGTAAGTAGCTTGTTTGGGATTATAAGTAGTTACAGATATAGTTATTTCATTTATTACCTAAGTTACCAAGTCCCATGAACTTCTAGTTAGAATCTCGGATCTGGAGCCCAAACAAGAAAGCGTCCCAATGGCCACATGGCACACGTTAGGTTCACGGATCAAGTGGGTTGAGTTTCGGGAAGCGATGACTTCACAGCCCCTATATCAAGATACTAGGACATACCCTGTCCTGATTTTATAAGGGGCCCTGGAAAGCCATAAACCCTGACCCCTTATGAGTAGTTCTCCACATTAGGGACTCATTTTGGGCCCCAAAATTAGCACGGCAACTTTCAAGTTTCCTTTGTGGCTCCTGTCGAGGTAGGGTTTAGGGTTTAGGGTTTAGGGTTTAGGGAGGTATCTATCCATGAAAATATTCGAGGGCCCCCAAAATCATCCCTGCTGCAGTGGAAGACCTCGGCGTGACCCCCAACAACCCAGAGACTCCAATATCCCTTAATTAAGGAGTATGCCTTAAGTCATCTTAGGGATCCTATTATAAATTAAGGTATACTTCTTAATGAAGGGATATTGCAGTCTTTGGGAATGCCAACATGTCCCCCTGAAGCCTTGAGGATTTGGGTTTCGGGGTTTACTGGTTTTGAGGTCAGGATTTAGGGTTTCGGGGTTTACGGGTTTGGAGTTAGGATTTGGGGTTTCGGGGTTTGCGTTTTTGGGTTAGGGTTTCGGGGTTTTAGGGGTGCCACAGCTTTGTCTCCCTGTGCATGTTCTCAACACGGCAGCCTGTGTCCTGGGGTTATATAAAGTACCCTAAACCCCAAACCCTAACCCCTAAACCCCTAAACCCTAAAGCCTAAATGGTAGACTCTAGAGCACCCAAACCCCTCAAATCCCACACCCTTGCCCTAACCCCTAGACCCCACACGTTGCACCCTACCTTACCTAGGGTTATAAATAATTATAGGCATAGTGTTTTTTATTGCTCCAATGATTCAGTGCCATGAGCATTTCAGTACCAGTAGGGTGCAGCCACCTTCGCCGCAGGTCTTCTTCTGGCACGGCCTGGCCAGAAGTGACATTCCAAAACATTTGGCCGAGGCGGGCGAAGTAAACCGGTCAGTTAAGGGGTTCTGTTAAGGCTTCTATGAGGGGTCCTTTAGGCTTGCCTTTTGAGAAGGCTTGTAGTACGGCCTTCCAGCGCCAAATAAGGGCTTCATACGAGGTTTTGAGGATTTCTATGGCTTTGTAGGATCATGGCACATAGTAAGCACGATTACAACTGAGGTAGCCATAGCTCTACACACACACACACATATATATATATATATAAATATATATATATATATATATATGAACACACACATACATATAGATATAGATATAGATATAGATATAGATATAGATATAGATATATGTATATGTATATGTATATGTATATATATAGGCATGTTTGAATTCCGTTTGGTGCTTCAAAAATTTTTACTTCTAAGTGCCCATACCCCTTCAAGCCGACCCATGCGCTAAGACTTCGATCCTCAGGTCCGAAGGCTTGTTGAGCTTAAGATTTTGGGGGTTTAGGGTTAAACTTAGGATTTTGGGGTTTAAGGTTTAGGGGTCTGTTGAGCTTAGGATTTGGGGGTTTAGGGTTTAGAGGGCTGTTAAGCAGCAAGACTGCTCGCCATGCACCTTTACCGCAAGCCCTCTACCCTAAAGCCTTTATCCACAGACGCTAGGCCCCATTTTTGGTGGTGACGTTCTTGCACCGGCAACGTTGACTATCGGCTCGCATGCACAGCCAACGCTTGGGTTCAGGCATAGTCCGAGTTTTGGGGCAGGTTCTAGGGAATTGGGGCCTAGATGGGTTTCAGGTTTGCGGATTTGTGGTTTGGGCTTAGGGTCAACAGCCTGCATAAGGAAATTGAAAATAACTAGCTCCAATTGCCGACGTCCCAGAGCTGGCAGACCGGCGTGGAACATGTCCGTCATGGTAGAAATTGGATTGCTCAGTGGCAAGGTAGCTACTGTAAAAGCAGGCCTACATGAACAGGTGGAAACATTGAGACTTCGGGCACAGACTGCGCTTGCAGTTGGAAAAAAGGGGCGACTGCTGGACTCATCTGGAAGCGTTTTGGATGCGTGCTCATCGATCGAGGATGCCAGGCTGCAGAACGGCGACTTCCTGACCTTGCACATAATGAACGAAATTCAAATTCAAGCATCTGACGAGGCATTTGCTGCCATTCTGACCGATGGATCAGTCGTCACTTGGGGTGATGCATACCATGGTGGTGACAGTAGTGCTGTGCAGGACCAGCTGAAGGATGTGCAGCAGGTCCAAACAGCAAGATCGTCGGCTAGAGCAGGTACTTTTGGTACTAAAGGTGCTTTTGCTGCCATTCGTGGTGATGGATCGGTCGTCACCTGGGGTTGTGCTGGTCGTGGTGTGGATCAGCTGAAGACTGTACAGCAGATCCAAGCCACTTGCTACGCTTTTGCTGCCGTTCTCGGTGATGGATCGGTCGTCACCTGGGGTGATGCTAGAGAAGGTGGTGACAGCAGTTCTGTGCAGGATCAGCTGAGGGATGTGCAGCAGATCCAAGCCACTCACCGTGCTTTTGCTGCCATTCTCGGTGATGGATCGGTGGTCACCTGGGGTGAAGCTGGCGATGGTGGTAACAGCAGTTCTGTGCAGGACCAGCTGAAGGATGTGCAGCAAATCCAAGCCACTCGCTTTGCTTTTGCTGCCATGCTTGGCGATGGATCTGTCGTGACCTGGGGTTCTGCTTGGGCCGGTGGCGACAGCAGTGCTGTGCAGTCTCAGCTGAAGAATGCGTCGCAGATCCAAGCCTCTGAGTGCGCGTTCGCTGCCATTCTGAGCGATGGGTCCGTTGTGGCGTGGGGTCCTGCTGGCCATGGCGGCGACGCTAGTGCTATGCAGGAACAGCTGAAGAATGTGCAACACGTCCAAGCCAACCAGTGTGCTTTTGCTGCCATTCTTGCTGACGGATCAGTCGTGACCTGGGGCCTGGGGGCATTGTCACTATGGTGGTGACAGTAGTGCTGTGCAGGATCAGCTGAAGAATGTGCAGCAGATCCAAGCCACTAAGGCTGCTTTTGCTGCTATCCTTGGCGATGGTTCTGTCGTGACGTGGGGTAATGCTGGCTATGGTGGTGACAGTAGTGCTGTGCAGGGCCAGCTGAAGGATGTGCAGCAGATCCAAGCCACTAACCGTGCTTTTGCTGCCGTTCTCGGTGATGGATCGGTCGTCACCTGGGGTTATGCTATACAAGGTGGTGACAGCAGGTCTGTGCAGGATCAGCTGAGGAATGTGCCGTAGATCCAAGCTGCTGAACAGCGTCTGCTCCTATCTTCCAAAAATCCCTGAACACTGAACCCCTCAACCCCAGACGCCTAACCCGAAAACGGGAGTGGAATCTAAAGATGCCCCCTCCAAATCGAGCGAAAAACCGTCATAGACCTTTCATGAAGTCCCCCTATAAGCCCAAGACCCAGAGACCCTCATCAAACCCTCGTGAACCTGCCCTACACTCGCCCCTAAACCCCAAACCGAAACCCGAAACCTACACCACAACACCTTGAACCCCTAAACCCTGAAGCCTGAACCCTAAACCCCTAAACCCCTAAACCCCTGAACCCCTAAACTCCTAAACCCCTAATGCCCTAAACCTCTAATCCCCCAAACCCCTAAACCCCTGAAACCCCCAAACCCAAAACTCTGAACCCTAAAACCCAAAAACTCCAACGCCCTGAAACTGTTCCATCAAGAACCGGCGTTCCTCGGTTCAACCTGCCGGAACCCAAAGGTTAGAAGTATGTTTGGCCTTTAAAGGGACCCTGAAGGGTACATATAGGGTGTATATATAATGGTTGTAAAAGGATCCCTAAACCCTAAACCCTAAACCCCTGAACCCTAGACCCCTAAACCGCAAACCCTAAACCCTAAATCCCTAAACTCCAAACCCTAAACCCAGTGTAGGGTTTCGGGCTTAAGGGCTCAGGGTTTAACATTTATGGCTTAGGGTTTAAGGAGGGTTTAGGGCTTAGGGCTTTGGGCTTTAGGCTTTGGGTTCGGGGTTTAAGGTTTAGGGTTTAGGGTTCAGGGTTTAAGGTTTAGGGCTTACGGTTTAGGGTTTGAGGGTCACTGGGAAGAAAACGAGTATTTCCCGTTGCCAGAAGCCGCGCTCATGGCCTATACCCCTTTTACCCTGAGCCCTGAGCCCTCAAGCCTTCAACCTCTAAAGAGCCCTATGAAGGCTTATGAAGCAGTGTAGAAGTCCGACATTGAACTCGAACTCCAAATCAAAAAACCCTAAACCTTAAAGCAATGAACCTTAACCCTAAACCCCAAAACCCCAAAACCCGAAACCCCTAAACCCTAAACAAAAGGCGCCTTACGAACTGGAAGAGGGGCTTGGGGATATACTATGCTATAGGGACAACAAGGTCTTCAACATAATAGCTCGACTCAGGGCTGGGGATATGCTGTGCTATATCCCCAATGGGTTTAGGGTTTAAGGTTTAGCATCATGGGGACTTTAAGGGGGATACCCTCATTAGTTATTCCGACCCCGCCATTTAAAGCCCAGGCCGTGTTGGAGGGCACAGGCGGCTCGCGGCACCTTTCCTGGGAAACTCATCCGTAGAATCGGTCTTCATCAGGCCCTAAAGTCTAGGGGTTTAGGGTTTAGGGTTTAGGGTTTAGGGTTTTGGTTTAGGGTTTAGGGTTTAGGGTGTTTGGTTTAGGGTTTAGGGTTTAGGGTTTTTGGTTTAGGGTTTAGGGTTTACCTAAACCCTAAAATAAGGTTTTTACAGGATTCTAAAGCAGTTTATTGAAGGGTTTCGAACTATATACACCATTGTCCTCATATGGTTTTTACAGCATTCTAAAGCGTTCGATTACAGGGTATTGCGCCACGACAATGTTGTCGTCGTCCGAGGAATTCTCCAGTTCGACACGCACCCAATTTGACTGTACCCGTCATCCTCCTTTTCGCGATTGCCCAACGGCCCCGGCAACGCTGCGGATTCAAGGCCCAAATCAACGCGGAGTTGCTTGGCCAGCTGCGCCCTCTGGAAAAATTTCCCGGGCTTGCGTGCTGGATCACGCTGCTGCCCTTGCCGCTTTGGATCCTTCCAGATGGCTCGCGCTGCTGGCTCGTACATGCAGGTCCACACTTGATCGAAGTTGCCGACCAGCAAGGGATGGGCCTTCCCCTCGCGCAATGTAACAAATACAAGCTCCTTCACGGCCACGATTTGGGGAGCGTTGCGCGGCAGGTGCTTCCCCGGCTTGAAAATCTTGTGCACCCTGAAATCAAACTTCCGCAGAAATTTATCCGCGTGCTTGTACAAGGCTCCGGGTGTTTTGGAGAGTGACAGCAGGCACAGCTCGGGCTTCGTTGCTGGGTCCTCCAGTCCCGCACGAAGCTTCGTGACCTCCTTATTCCATACTTCAACACATGTGCCCAAGAGGTTCGCAACGGCTGGCACTGTCACCTCCGCTCCCAGTTGGAGTTGTTGCACTAGGACCTCCTCCGCAATTCTCCGGCAGCTTGCCTGCACTGCGGCCTGAGCCCTTGTCCGGGCAATTGATGGACGCCAGCAGCCAGCGTGGCATTTGCCGAGCCTTTTTCGCTGCTCCGGGCATGTTGCTGCAGACTTTGTCCCAATGCTGTCTCGCGCTCGTTTTCGCCCATTTGGAGAAGCAGCCAGAAAAAATGCCCGGGAAACTGCCGCGGTCGCGCATCACGCTGAGTTCCGGGTGCGGCACTTGATTCGCTTTGCGGCGCCGGTACTCCTCCAGGTACCGCTGTTTGGTGGCAATGTCGAGGGCCTTGCCTTTCTTGTTTTGGCCACGGCGAGTTTTGCGACCAAACAGCTTCCGGCGAGGTCCCGTGCCTTCATGCCCATCACCACCTGCATGTGCCGCGGGATTGAGATACTCAGCGAACTTCCGCTTCCTGCGACTTGTGGTGCGGCTGCTGCTTGTGCCACCAGTGCCAGCACTAGCCACAACATCGCTGCTGGAGGGGGTTGCCGGGGGCTGCTGCACGTGCACCCGTGGTGGCGTCGACAGTGGCATGGCCACGGGAGGGGGAATGTCCAACCGCCGCTCCTTCACCAAGCGCCAGCCAGCGGAATGCACGAGCAAGGCCAACAGGTTTGCCTGAAGGACAGTGGTACTGAAGGCCTTCCCTGCGAAGGACATGGCCAGGCTGCGCTTTTGGGCCAGCTCCTCCACTGCAGCCGGCACGGCAAAATCTTCCGCGAAAATGCCTTGTGCCAGGAGGTGCTCCTTGCCGGTGAGGAACCTCTCATATTGGTTACGCCAGACCGGGTCCGTCGGACGCAAGCAGGGCGTCACCGCCACAGCATGCTCCGGTTGGCGCTTGCTTGACGTGCCCGGATCCAAAAAGAGGTTCTTGAAATCGGCTTGCTGGTAACGCAACTTGTCCAAGACGCTGTCCAGCTCCTGCAATGCGTTTTTGGACAACTTGCGTTTAGGCAAACCTGGCACGAAAATGTCCGGCACTCGCACAGAGCTGCTCATGTCCGCCATGGTAGCATCCACATCCGATTGCCAGTTGGCACTTGTCACATCTGCTTTGGATGCCATCAGCCACGCCCGGTTCCTCCGCTGTGGCAATGCAAAGTCCTGCGTGTCCAGTTGCCTGTGCTGCACGGCAAACCCACGTTCCCGCAAACGTTCTTCAACTGTGGACATAGCCGACGGCTGCAAATCCCCGTTGGAGTCCTTGCAATGGTGCAGCACTTTCGCCACGTTTTCATACAGAACCATATGAGCCTGCAAATGATCAGCTGCCGACAACACCCCGTGCTTGAAGGTAATGCTCGATTCGCAGGTCGTGATCGGGGTGCTGCGACTGTAAGCATCCCACGTACCTAGCGGCATCCACCCGCACACCCACAGCTGGGACCTGTTACCAGAAGGCCGGCTTGGGGAATAGGCTGCGTGCTGTTCGACTTGATGCAGTGCACGGCTGTGCCAGCCAGTTCTCGGCAATCGGCCACGAGAATACCAAGTTTGGATCCGTGGGCTCGCATAATGAAATCCTGGCGTGTCCGGTCGGAATCACAGCTCAGCACATGCATCGACCCTACTTGCACACCAAACCGTTCATTGAGGCACGCCAATGTGTGGTCCACCACCGGAATGGAGCTCTCCAAGCCCGAACATGTGCTCGCCACAGAAATTGTCGAGCCATCCAGCAAGGACAAATTTTCACGTAGCTTTGCAAGGTCCTCCAAGCAAAGGCGGTCCACGAAGTGATGACAGGTGCTATGCAAGGACTGTTGTGGAGGCGCTCCTCGCAAGTGCGTGTCCTCAAGACGTTGTCGCCGCCTGCTGCCTTGCGTGGCCTCCAGGTCCACTTCCACCAAGCTAAGGTGTCGTGCGGATTTCAGACCACCATGCACATGGAGGGGTTGAAGCCATTCAAGCACGTTCGTCACCTCGCAAAGCCACGCCGCTCCCTGGGCCTGTGTTGGCGGCACACAATGCAAGGCTTTCGCGCGGATATGGCGCAAAAGATCCTCCCCATTTGCGAACTCGACACAAGTGTGGACTTGCAGCGTACCTTCTATCCGACCCAAGGTGACGTTCAAGACATGCAATGTGACCGTCTCCGCAACTGGTGATTTGCTGGGGAAGTAGTGGGTCCTTCCCGAAAGCATCAAGGAGCAGTACTTGGCGGACAATGCCAGCACCGGGAGTTTCTCGTTGGAAATGCTGGGAGTGGGGGAGACCTGCTTTGGCGGAAGGATCCCTGGGCAAGGCTTGCTGGAACAAAGCTGGAGGCCTGCTTTTGCGGAATCACTTTCGCGGGCGATGCTGGCAGGGACAGAGCTCCATTGCACGGGGCCGTGTTCATGTGCGTACGGCACCTTCGTCGGCAATCGCACCGGGTTTGCCATGACGTAAGCAAACAGAGTCGCCCCTTTCCAGTTCATGCCTTTGACCGCGTCCGCAGTGGCTTGGTGCTTCTCCAGGTTTGCTGGTCGAATCATATACACCCTTGTCCTCATACGGTGCGGACTCTACAGCGGTTTTTTCAAGGGTTTAGGGTTCTAAGGCGGTTTATTGAAGGGTCTTGGAGTATAGGGGCCTTGTTGATGAGTAGGTTTTGGCCCACAAACCAAGTAAGTGGGATTGGGGGACACTCCAACAGCTTAGATTTTAAGGCTTTAGTTGAGATGCTCAGGAAGTTAGCCAACAGGTTCAGCTAAGAGGCCCTAGTCGAACTTGGTAAGCAGGTCATGTGTAGAGTCAGGTCCCTTAATTGGGCTAGGGCTTCCGAAACTCCCCAACCCCTAAACCCTGAAAGCCCTACAGCGGAACCCAAGGCTTGGTCTCTCCTGGATGTGAAGCTTTGGACAAAATCGTTGGAGGTAACATAAATTCCAAAGTTCCGCGTGCTCTCTCTCGACTAAGCAAACCCTAAACCCTAAACCCTAAACCCTAAACCCTAAACCCTAGGCAAGAATCGGCAAGAACACACCTTCAGGATGTGGCGGGGTGGAGAGGGATGGTTTTGGAGGTTCAGAGGTTGAAGTCGGGGGTTCGGGAAGAGGCGGCCCTTTCATGGAGTGCAGCTTGTGCTATAGGGTTTAGGGTTTAGGGTTTAGGGTTTAGGGTTTAGGGTTCTGCAACCCCACAAACCCTGAACACTCAACCTTACGTTGCGCCTGCTGAATCAACAACGGGAGCTGAAAGGGTAAGCACTGTTGATGGTATGAATCTTGCATAGAACTAAGGACCCAAAACTACGGGAATTAGGGTATTCCTTGTTATGGGTAATGCAGAATTTATATCATCAACCGTAGGGCTGTGGCGGGCTTTATGCAACACTTTTTTTTGCGATGGCTATTAGCCCTAAACCCTAAACCCTAAACCCTAAACCCCTAAACCCTAAACCCCTAAACCCCTACACCCTCAACCCCTAAACCCCAAACCTTTTTAAAGGAGACCTAGAGGCCCCACCAGGAGAAACCGGGAGTCGATGGTCTTCGAACTCCCAGAGGTGGGCCGCATCGAACAGCTCGCCCTCCTTTCCCAGGGTTTAGGGTTTAGAGCTTAGGGTTTAGGGTTCAGGGTTTAGGGTTTAGGGTTTAGGGTTTAGAGCTTAGGGTTTAGGGTTTAGGGTTTGTTACTGATTGGGGTTTAGGGTTGTACGGTTTCAACCCTTCCAAGGGTTTAGGACTGAGGGTTTAGGGTGTATCATTTAATATTTTTTAGGGTTTGTTACTTATTAAGGTTTAGGGCTTAGGGTTTCTTGCTTATTAAGGCTTAGGATTTAGTGTTTAGGGTTCATCATTTAATATAATGCTTCTTACAGTTTAGGGTTTGGGGTGTGCTACTTATTAGGGTTCAGGGCTTAGGGTTTATTACTTATTAGGGTTTTAGGGTTTAGGGTTCAGTAGTTAGTAAACCCTAAACCCTAAACCCTAAACCCTAAACCCTAAACCCTAAACCCTAAACCCTAAACCCTAAACCCTAAACCCTAAACCCTATTCGGGTTTGGGGTTTAAGGCTTCAGGTTGAGACTTTCTGGCTCAAAAGGAACCTTAAGCCTAAAACTCCACAACCTGACTGAGCAAGCCACAATAGGGTTTAGGGTTTAGGGTTTAGGGTTTAGGGTTTAGGGTTTAGGGTTTAGGGTTTCGCGCCTTGTAATTCCGGACACGGTCGGGGGACGTGTACAAACGCTGCAAAACCCTGCAACACCCTCTAAGCCGAAGCCGCGCAGTCCTGGCCTCTAAGCCCTAAACCCTAAAGCCAGACCCAAACTCGAAACCTTAAACCCTAAGACATAAACCCAGACGCTGAACCCTAAGCCCAAAAACAAAAACCCAAACTCGAAACCTTAAACCCTAAAACATAAACCCAAACTCTAAACCCTAAACCCAAACTCGAAACCTTAGACCCTAAAACATAAGCCCAAACTCTGAACCCAGAAGCCCGAAAAGCAGAACTTGGCCTCTCTGGCAACGGCGCCGCCGGTGGCCGTGGCCAATAAGGTTCGCTCTGCGGCTCCCACACGTCCCAGCTGCAAGGACAGCACCTTGGGGTTAGGGTTTAGGGTTTAGGGTTTAGGGTTTAGGGTTTAGGGTTTAGGGTTTAGGGTTTAGGGTTTAGAGCTTAGAACCCCTGAAACGCCAAACCCTGAAGCGACGATTATCCACAACACATGCTTCATGCAGTTATGCAACGCCTGAACCCTAAACCCTCAACCCTAAAGTACCCTGATAGCCCGATAGCAACCCCTCGTAGAAGCCCTTTACAGGAACCTTTCTTCCTGTGTGTGCAGGAATAAGTGCCGTCTCCGAGATTGGAGACCCTAATATAGCACCCTAAATGTAGGATCCTTATTATAAGGATCACCCTAAACCCTAAACCCTAAATAGTAGGATTATAAGAATCCAAAATAAGGTACCCCTTATTCTCGGAAACACTCATGCCGCCGAGAAGCCGGCTGCTCCGGGTACGCCTGCCCAGGGTTTGGGGTTTAGGGCTGCAGGGTTTAGGGTTTTGGGGCTTAGGGTTTAGGGCGGGTTCAGGGTTTAGGGGTTACTTGGAGGGTCGGGGGACTTACTAAATGGTTAGTTTATAGACTTGTAAGTACTATAAACCCAATTAGGGTCCCATTTAGGGTGTTTGGGATTTAGGCTTTAGAGTTTAGAAATTTGGAAGATGCTTCGCTACAAATCCAAGCCACCTCTGGGATCCGCACAGTGGACCCCGCGAGAGTCCTCTATGGAAGACGACCATTTAGCTGAACCCCAAAGCCTTGCAACGCACACCCTAAAATACTACATCCCAAAACCCTAAACCCCCAAAAC